ATATATATGCCACGCCGTGCCATATATATGCCACGCCGTGCCATATATATGCCACGCCGTGCCATATATATGCCACGCCGTGCCATATATATGCCACGCCGTGCCATATATATGCCACGCCGTGCCATATATATGCCACGCCGTGCCATATATATGCCACGCCGTGCCATATATATGCCACGCCGTGCCATATATATGCCACGCCGTGCCATATATATGCCACGCCGTGCCATATATATGCCACGCCGTGCCATATATATGCCACGCCGTGCCATATATATGCCACGCCGTGCCATATATATGCCACGCCGTGCCATATATATGCCACGCCGTGCCATATATATGCCACGCCGTGCCATATATATGCCACGCCGTGCCATATATATGCCACGCCGTGCCATATATATGCCACGCCGTGCCATATATATGCCACGCCGTGCCATATATATGCCACGCCGTGCCATATATATGCCACGCCGTGCCATATATATGCCACGCCGTGCCATATATATGCCACGCCGTGCCATATATATGCCACGCCGTGCCATATATATGCCACGCCGTGCCATATATATGCCACGCCGTGCCATATATATGCCACGCCGTGCCATATATATGCCACGCCGTGCCATATATATGCCACGCCGTGCCATATATATGCCACGCCGTGCCATATATATGCCACGCCGTGCCATATATATGCCACGCCGTGCCATATATATGCCACGCCGTGCCATATATATGCCACGCCGTGCCATATATATGCCACGCCGTGCCATATATATGCCACGCCGTGCCATATATATGCCACGCCGTGCCATATATATGCCACGCCGTGCCATATATATGCCACGCCGTGCCATATATATGCCACGCCGTGCCATATATATGCCACGCCGTGCCATATATATGCCACGCCGTGCCATATATATGCCACGCCGTGCCATATATATGCCACGCCGTGCCATATATATGCCACGCCGTGCCATATATATGCCACGCCGTGCCATATATATGCCACGCCGTGCCATATATATGCCACGCCGTGCCATATATATGCCACGCCGTGCCATATATATGCCACGCCGTGCCATATATATGCCACGCCGTGCCATATATATGCCACGCCGTGCCATATATATGCCACGCCGTGCCATATATATGCCACGCCGTGCCATATATATGCCACGCCGTGCCATATATATGCCACGCCGTGCCATATATATGCCACGCCGTGCCATATATATGCCACGCCGTGCCATATATATGCCACGCCGTGCCATATATATGCCACGCCGTGCCATATATATGCCACGCCGTGCCATATATATGCCACGCCGTGCCATATATATGCCACGCCGTGCCATATATATGCCACGCCGTGCCATATATATGCCACGCCGTGCCATATATATGCCACGCCGTGCCATATATATGCCACGCCGTGCCATATATATGCCACGCCGTGCCATATATATGCCACGCCGTGCCATATATATGCCACGCCGTGCCATATATATGCCACGCCGTGCCATATATATGCCACGCCGTGCCATATATATGCCACGCCGTGCCATATATATGCCACGCCGTGCCATATATATGCCACGCCGTGCCATATATATGCCACGCCGTGCCATATATATGCCACGCCGTGCCATATATATGCCACGCCGTGCCATATATATGCCACGCCGTGCCATATATATGCCACGCCGTGCCATATATATGCCACGCCGTGCCATATCTGAGGCAGAGCCAGGCACAAATAGCTGATAACAGACTTTCAGGTGCACCTCTTCACTTATCACTTCTGGGGTCACCTCTGTTTCTAAAGACTTGTTTTCCTTAAAAAAAGATTGCTTAGGACACTTAACAGTGTGGTGTTGTGATAACAAAACCCTGTGAGGCTTTAGTTTTATGCCTGGGCTCCTCGTGCCTCTGCTCCTGAATTTGTTTTTGAAATCATTTCATGCAGCAGAACTGTGGGAGTGGAAAGCAGCGCTCTCCTTGTCCCCAGCTGGGAGTTCTGTTCTTCTGGTGCTGGTGATGGGACAGGGCTCTTCGAGGGAGCAGTGATGGAGTGAGGAATGGAGGGAGACGGGGCTTGTTTTGAAGCAGGGTGCTTGGCACATAAGGAGCAATGCACACAGACTGGTGCACAGATTTGTTTAGCAAACAATAACCTGTGTTTTGTGGATGAATAAATAATTAACCTGATTTTAAAAGAAGGAAAAAAGTAATAATTTTGCTATCTGCAGACCTCCTCTTCCCTGTCTGCTGGGCACGAGTGGTGTCCTCACACCTATGTGAGCACGTCTTGTGATGTGTGGGTCTCTGCTTTGCAGATGGGAATGGGAGCACAGCATGGGGGAGGGGGTCGTGAGCTCAGCACCTCTCCTGCAGGGTCTTCTGGGTATGAGGAGAGCCCTCTGTACCCTCATGGGGGTTGGTTGCTGCCCCTCTCACATCAGCACTGCTGTTCCTTGTGTTCCTCTATGCCTGGAGCTCAGGAATGGCCATAGTGACCAAAAGGCTACAACTCCCTTTCAGGTTTGTGTCACCATCACCTCTGAGACTTCTGCTCTTCCACCTGCTCAGACTTTTGCTTCCCTGAGGCTTTGTATTTTATTCTATTTTAATTTTTTTTGATGCTGAGGATTCTGCATGTTGGATGCAAGAGGCTGAGTTGAGTACAATGGGTTGAGTTGAATGCAGTGGGTTGGATGTAGAGGTTTTCTCCCTCATTTTCCTGCACTTGTACTGAGGAGATGACAGAAGCCCTGGGAGTTCAGCAGCAGGAGTCTGGGGAAAGCAGCTCCTCATGCAGGGAAGCTGGCAGTTAGCACATCCACTGACACCCAGAGCAGGATCAGGCAGTGAAGGTTGGACATGTGGCTTCCTAATGCAGAGGAATGGCTGTGTCCCTGTGGAAGCCCCAAGTGCCTGATAGCTACTGCGTAGCGTGGGTTGAAAGAGAAAGTATTCTCCTGTGGTTTCTTCAGAGCTGTTTCTGCTTTCCTTCTCGTTGGTGGGGCAGAAGGAGACAGTGAAGACCTTTGTTCTGGCTTGCTATCACTGGTCCGTGGGTGTATTTAGGAGATCTTATGCACAATGCTGCTCTGCTGTTGTTCTTTCTTTGCTGCTTGCAGAAGTGTTTCTGTTCAGTACCAGGAAATAAGTGCAACAAAGCCCCCCAGATCCTCACTGTGTTAGGACTGAATAGGAAAAGAGAAAATGGAAATGCTCAGGATTTGTCCTGCACAGAGCCAAAAAATATCTTCCTTGGAGAAGGAAAGGAGAACTCTCAGGTGTTCCTGTGCCACTGTTGTTTCCTGCTTATTTTTCAGACACATTTGGCTCCCCAGCACCTGTGTCTGGGGGGAGGAACCATACATTTGAGGTCACTGGGTTGTCCTGAGCAGCCCCAGGCAGAACTGCTGCTTTTCCCCAATTCCTGCATTTCCATGGCCAAAAATGAGGCGGAGAAAAGAATCCTCCATATGTGCCTTGCCAAACACTCACAGATGCAAGCAAAGATGGCAGCTCCCTCTCTGCAGTACCTTCTCCCTGTTCTTTTCATGGTGTTGGGAGCCTTCTTTGGTATCAGATGCCGAGTGTGTGTTTGCTGTTTATGTGCAGGGAGGCTGGAGCTCCTATTTCAGTGCATGGAAGGGAAATGGAAGAGTAGTCATATGTGCTGATTGCTAATTTGAATAGACTTTTACTTTAGCTGCAACTCTGGCAGGTCCACCTTTGAATATCAAGCAAGGGCACGTCATGTCGGCTAGTCTTTGTTTTTTTGCAGTGCTGCCCTATGGTTTGGGAGCTCGGATGCCATGCCATATAGTGCCATACCATGCTGTGCCCTAAGCCATATATGCCATGCCATGCCATATATGGCATAGGGCACAGCACGGTACAACACGGCCGTGCCACGGCGTGGCATATATACTTTTTTCCTATAATACTTTTTTCCTTCTTTTAAAATCAGGTTAATTATTTATTCATCCACAAAACACAGGTTATTGTTTGCTAAACAAATCTGTGCACCAGTCTGTGTGCATTGCTCCTTATGTGCCAAGCACCCTGCTTCAAAACAAGCCCCGTCTCCCTCCATTCCTCACTCCATCACTGCTCCCTCGAAGAGCCCTGTCCCATCACCAGCACCAGAAGAACAGAACTCCCAGCTGGGGACAAGGAGAGCGCTGCTTTCCACTCCCACAGCTCTGCTGCATGAAATGATTTCAAAAACAAATTCAGGAGCAGCGGCACGAGGAGCCCAGGCATAAAACTAAAGCCTCACAGGGTTTTGTTATCACAACACCACACTGTTAAGTGTCCTAAGCAATCTTTTTTTAAGGAAAACAAGTCTTTAGAAACAGAGGTGACCCCAGAAATGATAAGTGAAGAGGTGCACCTGAAAGTCTGTTATCAGCTATTTGTGCCTGGCTCTGCCTCAGATATGGCACGGCGTGGCATATATATGGGCCTTGCAAGATAAGTTTCACAAAAGGCTCTTATTAAATAGTTCAGTTTTTTTTTTTTTTATAACTTATCATTAGAGAACAGATACACAACTGCATGTACAATGTTGAACTTTAGTTTTAGAGGAGACATTGAGGAAGACAGTCTTTTGAATTCTTATGTGTGATTTGCTATATGCACTGAAACTTCTTTGCAGTGCTCGTGTGATACACTGACATTTTTTCCATCTTAGGAGGGAAATTTTTGTGAAGTTTGTGAATCTTATTTTTTTTGTCTTTTGAAAACTAATGGCTGCCTCTCATTTGGGGTGTGATTGAAATGTCTCTTGATTACTGTCGAAGCTGATTCTTTTCTTGGTTGGTGTGAGAGAAGGCTGAGTATTGTGTTGTATGCTGTACGATGTAAAAATGTTTAGATTTAAATAGTTGTTGGCCTAGAATCAGAGAAATGTGATGCATCTTTGAGAAACAAGCATCTATCCCACTAATTCTGGTCACTTTTTTCTTCAAAAGGTAACTTATTTCTGATGAACCTACTTACAGCAATAATCTACAACCAGTTTCGTGGGTACCTTCTGGTAAGTAAAACTTTCCTAACATGTGTTCTACTGTAACCTTACGGCTGTGAAATCCTGGGTGTTTATGGATTTACCTGTGTATTGAAGTATGCCAATCCAATAGTAAGTACAGTTTTAAGATGAGAAAGCTTCATAAAACGGATGTATGTATTTTTACCCATGTGTGCTATTGTAGCTTGATGCCTTTTGGGTGAGAAAATCACATGTTTATGTATGCTTTAGATGTGCAGCTGTGACTAGCATATGAGAAAAACGAGAGTGAGAACAACAATAAAATGGTGAACAAGGACTGTACTTTTTCAATAGCTGTTGTTGCAAAGCCCAGCATTTAATTTCTCAGAGTAGCACAGTATGAGAAGCCCTCACTAAAAATAACTTGCTGACCTTGGTGTCTATAAGAGAAGTAAAAGCTGACAAAGTAACTGTAGTTGATTCCACAAATTGTGGAAGGAACTTAGCTGTGGTGGTGATGAAGCTGGGCGTTACAGGTTCTTTCTCCTTCATTGACGAGCTGTGTAGTGTGTTCTGTTGTATTAGGTACACCAGATGGAAATGCTCTGGATTTCCTTAGTAGGAAACAGATGTAAGTTCTTTTGGTTTCTCGCTGAGGTAGAATAGTTTAGCAGTAGGAGAGCAGTGAGCTGAGGCAAGCGTATTTTAAAAAGGAGAGCATAAGCAAAGATGAACTTTCATTTTACTACTTCCAGTAAATGACTGGATAAGGTAGGGGCTGTGTTACACAAATGTAGTTTGTCTCACAGCTGAACTGCTGGGCTGTGGGTTAAGGCTGTGTTTTGGTGAGTGTTTTTGTTTTGTGTACCAGTGTGGTGATGGCTTCCTTGGCTTAGAATGAGCAGCATTTTCCTATTGTGTAAGTAAACTGTGTTTACTTGAAGTCTAGAGCCTTGTCTGCTTGGTTTCTTCCTTCCTTTGTACAGAGCTCTTGTAAGGAGTGAGAGCTAGGAAGTCTCTTCTCCAGTCATAAGACTGCAAGAGTGCCAGAGGATCAGTGTGCAATCTGAGCTGGGTTTTCCTGTTGGTCTGCAAGTCCTTCTGGTAGGACTGGACTTTGCTGATTTCAACCTTTGATCCTTCAACAATTCCCCTTAAACTGTGGGAGTGTCTGTCTGGTATCTTAACAGTCAAATCTAGTAGTTGATGATGAGGACTTTGGTAGGAAGGGAAAGAAAGCAGTATTTTGACTTCTTGGAAACAGATTGAGTTAGATAGACAAGGCCTTCTGTGAAGCTTGCAGTTGGCTTTGCCAACTGACATTTGTGTCATCTGTTTTATTCATCATACCATTTATCCGTGTTCATAACAGGGGAGTTGGGCTAGGTGATCTCTGCAGATCCCTTCCAGCTCAGATGATTCCACGATCTGGTTGAATTTCCCAGTGTTAAGCAGACTGCCTCCTATTATCTTAACTTGTGGTGTCTTTCTTATGCAGAAATCCGTTCAGTCCTCCCTCTTCAGAAGACGGCTGGGAATCCGGGCTGCATTTGAAGTGCTTTCTTCCCTAAAAGAGACTCCTGCTAATGCAGAACAGTGAGTGGTGGATATTGAGGCAGTAGTGCACCCAGCAGAAAAGGCCAAATTTTCAGCTCTTGTTTCAGTGAATGCAGGAAACTGATAGGGTCATGGCTTGAGCTGGTGAAGAGGTATGGCTGGCCCAGGGGACACTGGCAAATTGTTGGCACCTGTGCTCCCTGTGCAACCAGAAGGAGAGGGCCCAGGGTGGAGCCATCCTGGGCTCATATAAGGGCCAGCTGCTGAAGGGGGGAGCATCTCTTGGGCCTTGGCTGCTTCCTGAGAAGGGGTGCTGTGTAGCCAGAGATCCCCTTCACCAGCTGGATGAGTTCCATTCTTCTTTGTACATGACTATTGGCCTACCTTTGAATGTTTTACTTCCTATCACCAAGAAGCAAGTTTGCTTCTTCAGAAACAGAACTAGTGTGAATTGAAGATCTCTCATTGAAAAACAACAGTTTTGCTTATTTTTTTAATTCTATTCTTCAAGTGGGTTTTTATAGTGAATTGTCTGGGACTTTTATGGGCTATTTTCTTTTCATTGCTGCTTGTAATTTTATTGGCTTTAAAAGAAGAAAACAAAACCAGAACTATTGATTGTCTCAGTGGCAAGATGTCTCTTTCAGGACCCATTCTCTAAGCTCATCTTCTTTTGGATAGGTCGTATGTTAGTGCTGGAGCCTTGCTTCAAGTGCTGCAGAAAGTTGAAATGGATTCTCGCAGCAGGCAAGCAATCATGATGGTAAGAGCTGGATCTTCTTAATCCTTGGAGGCTGTCAAACTCTTGCTGGGACAGTTATGGAAACTTATTATTATTATTATTTTTAATCACAGCAGTGATTTAGAAGCAGTAGTCTTCAGCTGTTTGTGTCCTGCTTTCTTTATGAGCATGAGCTGAGTCCAGATCAGTGTCTGCTTATGTGCTGGTCTTTGCCTAGTAACAGCTTTAGTTCCAATGATTCCAACCTAAGACTGCCACTCCTGTGGTTGGTTTGAAGAAGAAGGCATTCACTGATAGGTGGTGTAGGTGAAGACTTTGTTTTGCAGAGCCAAAATTCTGATTTGCTTTGGTTTATCTCTGAAAATAAAATCTCTCTCACTGTGGTCTGGAGCTGCTACCTACAGCTTGGTGTATCTTTACCATTTGAACATGGGGGGTGTATGTAACTGTATTGCTTCCTCTAAGTTCTGATACTTATGTCAGGCTATAGGGAGAATTGTTTTGCTTATCTAAGGCCTTAATGTTGCTGTTTGCACTGCAGTTTTTAGGTAGAGCAATTAACAGGAGATACAAGATGCAAAAGTTACAGGTATGGTATCAGGAAAAACTGCTCCAAAAATATTATTGCTTTTTAAGGACCAAATTGCAGCAGGTCTTGGAGGTAGATGTTATGAACTAATGCCAAGAGAAGGGGTCAACATAGAGCTGATGGTAATGGTGTGCCAGCAGTTGGCTGGATCCATTGTGAAGATACACATGTTGCTTTCTGTTATTGTCTGGGATAGGGGCTGTGTAAACAGAGTTGCCTGAAAATAGCACTCTGCTCTGTGATTAAGACTGCACTGTTTGTTAAGTACGCAAATCCAGTCTGAGAGTGGTGGTACTTCCTGAAGGTGCACTTAATGCAGATGTTGATCTGGCTTTCTCTTTCATGTGAAGTCACTCAAAATATGCTCCTGTGACCAGCTGTCAGTTGCCCAGTTCCAGTGGCTCTTTGAAGAGCTAGACAAGGATGCCATTAAACAAGTACGTATGTACCTCATCACTATTTACAGAGTGTCATAAGGTAGTATGGTTTTGAACAGTTCTGTATTTATGTGGAACTAAGATCTTTCCCTCTCTTTGAGGGAGACAAATGATGGGAGTGGTGGAAGGAATATATGCAATTAATAGCCTGGTTAATTTACCTGCTTGAGGCATTGGAGAGGTTGGATTTTTTTTCCCTTTCTTATCTTGTGTTGTGCCATGATCGCCAATGCTTTTGCTCTTTGGAGATGATCTCTTGCTGATAATAGCTAGAGCTTGAAAGCACTTTACTAATAAAAATGGACTTGAAAAGTTTTGCTTTGAAAAGGTACGTTTCTTAAATCTGAAACTGGGCTATTTTTCCCTGCATTGTTATTAAAATACTTGTGTTGCCTTTCAGTGTAATTGTTGTGTTCTTTTCAGCATCCTCCCAGTCCAGAATACCGATCCCATTTCATGCGGAAAATGCAGTTTGCCTTTGGCCATCCCTACTTTGGCTACTTGGGAAATGTTGTTGCCCTTGCAAACATTGTTTCTATCTGTGTACGTAAGAGAGAAAAACAATTTTTTTTTCTTGTTGCAAAATTCAGCAGTAAAACAGTGGATTCATGGAAGATTTATTGTTATTTAAGGTGGTTTTGGTGTTGGATGCAGATAAGCAGCCTTCTGAAAGAGATGACTTCTTCTTGGGGGTAAGAAGCAACAGTATTTCTGTGGATATTGCTGTTCCCTTAATGTGGTTAATTCTAATTTTTATTATCATTTCTACGGTCTGAAGACTATCAACTGCTTCTTCATCATATACTATCTGATGGAAATGTTGTTGAAAATCTTGGCAATGGGCTTGAAAAGATATTTATCATACCCGAGCAATAGGTTTGATGGACTTCTAACTACAATTTTGCTGGTAAGTTTGTTTTGTTGTTAACTTCTGTATTTCTGGATTTGTTGTTTAGGGTGATATTGAGCTACAAGATCTAGCAGGATGCCAGTAAGATTACTCCTAGTTGAACACTGATGTGCTGAGTTGAACAGCTTGAGCCAGTGTTGTGTTTTGCAGTGGCACGAGTGCTTTGGAATGTTACTTTGAATGTCCTTTTCGTGGAGAAATTGCTGGAAAAGTTGAGCTCTCTTACAGGCAGCCTTTTTAATGTTATTTGGAAGCATTCTGCTCACAAGGATGTCTATAATGTAGTTAAGCATCACTTATTGAATAATAAAGTGGCAGGATATTAAATCTGTTTGGTAAAACCCTGAAACCTAACTTACACAATGTAATTCACTCAGTATCTTTTTATGTGTCACCTTAGGACTAATTTGGATGTATTGTCAAATATAGCAATACCAGAGTATATAAGTAGAGTCATACTAGTGGCTTAAAGCTATTGAACATGTTTTCTGTTGAGAAAGGTAAGTAATATTTAAACCTCAAAATTACCAAGTTTAAAAAGGTTTTTTACTCTTTTTCCTTTCTCTCTGTCTGAAGGTTTTGGAGATTGCAACTTTTGCTGAATATGGATTTCCTCATCCTGGTTGGTAAGTAATCTCCTTGAACCATTACACTGTCTTAGGTGTCTGGGTTGGATCGGGGGATTATACGTGCATGTTCATGCACACTTGTGGTGTTCTGCTGTAATTATCAGCCCAGTGCATAACTTACCAACTTAGTAGAAGTTTTCCCTATTGTAGTCACTAAACTTCATGTTTCAAAGTTTAGTAGAGAAATTGCCATGGAGCTGTTCATGTGTACTGGAACAGAAAGCGCAGGTCTCCTGACTTTTTTTCTGTATGTATATTTTTTTAAGTCCAAATGGTTCTTGGATAATTATCTTAATCTTTTTTCATCATTAAAACCATGGAAGTGATTGTTTCCATTTTTAAAATACATGTACAGCCATATCAGAAGAGAAAAGCAAAGAACTTTTGGAGGACTTTGTAAGTCTTACTTTCAAGGGTGATTCTTGAATGTGGACAGCTGTTTGCACTCTAACAGTATCTTGAAGCACCAGTTATTTTCTCCATCACCACAAACAGATTACAGCCCAGAAGGTTCTGGATGGCACTAACATCATGTTCTGTGATGCATCCTTTAATCACAATTGCAGTTACATCTGCAGATTAAGTAACATCTTAAAGACAAGACTGAGGTTTCTACTATTATTCTAGAGTGTGTTCTGTGTGGTGCTGTCTTAGGTGATATTAAGGCTAAACTTGAATGTTTGTGATGCAAATTGTGATCTAGCATCTGTTACCAAGGAGTTTTGTCACTGCTATCTTTCCTTCCCCCACCACCTGCCCACACTTGCAGCAAGGAGCACCCAGCATGCCTGTGTAAAAGTCAGCTAATGCTCAAGCTGAGATTTGAAGTGTATAGATATTGTCTATGGAATACATACATAAGAAAGAATGTTGACTGGGCAATCTGTCAGCTTTATACTTTCTTTGAAGACTAACTTCAGCCAAGGCTCAGTAACTTCATTAATGTCTTTTTGGGCTGTTTCTCTGATATGTTATTTCTTTCCTAGGAGACCAGAGTTTGTGGGCCTGCTATCCCTGTGGGATATGGTGCGACTGGTGAACATGTTAATCGTGTTCAGGTTCCTGCGGATCATTCCTAATATGAAGGTAATATGAAGGTTGTTTATTCCTCCACACTTCTGATATCTTTGATCAAATTACAGATTTTGTGAAAGGCTCTCAGAATCACAGAATCACCCGGGTTGGAAGGGACCTCAAGGATCATGTAGTTCCAACCCCCCTGCCTAGCAGGGCCACCAAACGTACACATTCAGCACTCTCCCAGTGCTGTGCACTAGCTTTTCCTTCTGTCTCACCTGAATGGGAGTGTAGTTCTTCAGTCTGCACTCCAAGTGTCCAGACAATTGCACAGCACCTCACAAACCCTCTTTAGCTGGTTTTCTCCACTGACGTGGTAGGGAAGTCCTGTTGATGTTGCTGTAGCTGATGCTGACATTATAAAATGGGTAGAGAAACGCATCCAGAAATTCTTGCACAGCTTGTGTTGGGCTTCAGCCTCAACTAGTGACTTGATATGAAGTCCTTGGGGAACTTCGTAGTCAGGAGCTGATAGGTTCTCACTGGGTGCTGCTGGGCATTTTGATCCTGCAGAAGCTTGTTTGGGAGGAGTTCCTCTCTTCACTTTCCAGTTATGAATAGTTACGCCAGAGCACCCGTGATCTGAAATCACTTTGACGGTTATAATCCTGCACTTAGATTGGCTTGAAAGCTACGTCTGAATTCCCATCAGGAGTGGGACTTGTATTGTAGTTTAATAAAAAGCATAAATGCCTACCTGATGTCATCAGAGTGTCAGTGGGTGGGAATTGTAGACTAGAAATGCTTCCTCGTCAATCTCTCTGGAGCTGTGGGATGCTTAAACTTGTTTCCTCCATATTCTGGTCTTACACCTCGCCCTTTAGGTCACCGTGTCTGAGCATACCTAAAATTTAGCTTGATATCCCTTTATGAAAAGGAGCATGGCTGTGTTCATAAATCCCACAGTTGTCGTTGTAAGGATTGTCTGCGTTCAGACAGATCTCAGTTTTCCTTCTAGTAAAAATAATTTTGTGCAGGTTGGTAGCATGATAAATGTAATATGTATAAAATTCTGCTTTGTTTCAGTTCATGTCTTTGGTTGTTACTACGTTGCTGGACCTGGTAAAAAACTTGAGAGCCTTTGCAGGAATCCTGGTGGTAAGTCATGATGCAGAAGTGTCAAGCACATTCTCTTTATTATGCTGGTATCTGTAAGAAGGGCAGTGAGGAAGTAAACCAGGGCCTTTGGATGTCAGTTTCTGTGACTTCTAACATTTCACTGAAATCAGGCAGTTCTTCGGTATTGTAATGAGCTGCTGTTTTGTTCTGGCCTGCACAAAGTGTGCCTCAACTTCACCTACCAGTGTCTCTTAGGATCACACTTTAAAAGGTTATTTAAGACTTTCCTGAAGTACTTGTCTCAGGTTGGATACTTCAGTTTTGAAAAAATCACCTGTTTTCTAGAAGCAGCCTGGTTTTCCTTACACAGATCTGCTTATCTTAAAATTAGATAGCATAACAACTTTAAAATCATTTTGAGTTGGAAAGATTTTGAGATATTGTGTGTTTGGACATGGGGATTTCTGAAAGTCCATGCTGTCATGCTCAAAGAGTGTGTGATGTGTGTAATGTGTGATTAAAGGTTGTGTCACAGCACATGATGTTCATGGCTGCATTTCCTAACTCCTGAGTTTCTGGATTTGCAACTGTCTTCCTGGCAGAGCAAATGAGTTTGTGGGGCATTATTTTTATAATATTTTAGTTTTATTTTGTTAAGATACTTAAATTTAATGGTTAAAGACCAAGGATTTGCTGTATGTTAGGTATTGTCTCAGAAGTTTTTTTATATATCAAAATAAAAACTGGCTTGTCATCCATTTTATCCTAGAATAATTACTGTCATTGCTAATCTTGGTTTTTATCTTCAGTTGTGTCCTGGAGAGGCTTATGTTGCAATTTAAAATGATGTTGTCTTGTACAAAGATAAATTGGTAACAACTTTGTTCTGCTGTGCAAGTCATATATCCTGTTGGGACCTATGCATAAAACTGAGAGATGCTTCAGGAGTGTGCCAACTGAGATGTTAGCTTTTATGTTTGTTTTTTTTTTAATAGTTTTTTTTTTTTTTCCCAATATCTAAAGGGAGACTACAAAAGGGTGAAGACTCTTTACAAGGGTAGATAGAGGCAGGACAAGGGGAACTGGTTTTAAGTTGGAGGAGAGAAGATTGAGGTTGGATGTCAGGGGGAAATTCTTCACTGAGAGAGTGGTGAGGTGCTGTAACAGCTGCCCAGAGAGGCTGTGGATGCCCCATCCCTGGAGGTGTTCAAGGCCAGGTTGGATGGGACCCTGGGCAGCCTGGTCTAGTATTAAATGGGGAGGTTGGCGACCCTGCCTGTGGCAGGGGGGTTGGAGATGATGATCCTTGAGGTCCCTTCCAACCCAAGCCATTCTATGTTTTTATGATAGGTCAAAGTATATTTCAGGGGCTGAGTTGCCCAATGTCAGAGCCCTGTGGAGTTGCAGTCTTTGGGTGAGCTCCGTTGTGCTTTACTGCAGGATCCCAAAGCTGTGCTGCTACTGCTATGGCTGTACATGGGCTTAGTGTTCTGCTGGAAGATCCTTTGATTCCTGACAGTCATAATTACAATGGCAGGAGCTTGTAGTTATAGAGTCAAGTTCTTCTTTAGTGGTTATCCCTTAGCGTTTCAGTCTGGTGTCCCTACTCATGCATGCAGACGTAATGCTTAGAAGTGGTTCTTATCCACTGCAAAATATCCATCATGCCAGGAGTGTGAACTGTAATTTTTCACGATTTTAATCATTTTTCATGATTAAAAATTTCATAATTTTTAATCATGAAGCAGTTGTGCCATAGCATTTGCCGCTTCCATTAATTTAACTTGCTTTTACTTGAGGCACTAGGAGCTGCCACTGAGCTTCTGTTGTGTTGACATCTGGGTATGTTATTAGCTGACGCTAAAAGTTTTAACAAATTTTCTCCTGAAGCTTGTGCTGGTGAAGTTATATAACTCATTAGCTACTTTCTCAGATGATCCATGTGCTTAGATAAAATATCAAAGACTAAAGTCAACTTTATTGCAAGGCCATATGCCCCATCTTCTGGTAGGCTGTGGAATGACAGCTTCAACTTAACTCCAGTAATGTCTAAAAAGAGCAGCGCAGTCTTCCTTCTCTTGTGGACTTCTCCACTTGGTTTTCTAGCAAAACACAGAGATGTGACTAAAGACACCTCAGTCTGTAAACTCATCTTGTCTTAAGCGGTTGTAAAACAAAGGGCTCTGTACTTACGTTTAACTGAAAGTTAAATGGGACTTTAAAAAGTAAGAACAACAATTTTATATATATATATAAATATATAAATATATATATATATAAAAATATATATATAATGTATTTTAAATTTTTATATATATATAATATATATAAAAAGTATAGGTATTAAGAAGTATTTTTATTTCAAAAAGTTCCAGGTATTTTTCTTGACTGTTGCCCTTTACCTGTGATGCTAAGGTGAATTCTGTATTAATTGCACTGTTTATTTATTTAGTGACAGAAATATATTCGAAACTAATGCCTAAATGTATTCCTTCCAGGTGGTTTTCTATGCATTTGCTATAACTGGCATAATGCTGTTTAAAGGTGCTGTGGTTCCTCTGGGAAATGTCAGGTAATATTACTATTCAAAGTAGTACTCGATAGTTTTCAAGTGCATCTGCGACACTGTGACTCTGAGTTTTTATTTTATCCTTGTGTTTGAAGCTGTCTTTGCATTAATCACACAGACTTTTTTCATTTGTTACTCTGTCAGTTTTTCTTACTGTGTTGGAATTGCAGAAAGCTCACCTAAAGCTCAAAATGTTTAACCTGCTGTAGCTTTAATACTTAGTTTAACGATTTCCTCTGTTTTCTGCCCAAATGAGATACTTAAATTTCTGCAAGGTACTCACAGGAATCTTGTTTTTGAGGTATAGTATGTAGATAGCTATGCTCATATCAGACTATCATTCTCTTACAGTCTTGTTAATACAACGTATAACAATGGCACTTTGCAGTGTGGGACCTATGAGCAACTGGAATATTGGCCAAACAACTTTGATGACTTTGCTGTGAGTCAGTCTTAGCTCTGCTTCTCTCTCTGCCTGATGCTGTCCTTCTTTTTCCGAGGCTTTGAAGTATGTGATGCATTTGCTCAGCTTCTCTTTTCCTCATTCTCCTCAGGCAGCGTTAGTGACTCTTTGGGATGTGATGGTAGTGAACAACTGGCAAGTCTTTTTGGAAGCATTTTCGAGATACTCAAGTCCGTAAGTAGCAGTAATAAAACTGATACAGTGTCGTGTTTGTTGTAAACAAACGAGAATTGCAGAGATAGCACAGTTCCTATAATCTTATAAAGAGAGGTGCTTCTTACTTTTCTTTTGGGTAATTCCAGGTTCGTAGGAAAAACTACTAACTATGTAACTCAATGACTTGCTGCTGCAAAAACTATAATCATGTTTAGAAGGTATTCTAAACTGGTTTGATAGTTCTCTTGTTCCAAAAAAAGTGAATTATAAACAGGTTTGCAACATATTGCTGGGTGGCTCTCACTGTAGAGTCAATTGTGCAGAAGAGATGTAAGAGAATCACAGTAACTTACTTGAGGCTGCTTTTGTATTTACTCTGTGTGTAAATAACTTTTGGTAGGCTTAGAATCTTGGGCGTATCTTTCATTTGTATTGCACTGTTTTGTGGGAATTTTGAGTTAGCAGGATATTTTGAGTTAGCAGGATAGCCTCTGAGTTGGCTTGCTGCAGCTATCCTTGACTGGTCACATTTCAATGCAGTAACTTGGGAGTTTTGCTGTTTGATTTCTGTGGAGTCGTGGTTTCATCCACATATCAAATATTGCAGTTTGAATCAAGCAGAAGGAAGCGATTCTTCACCCAGCATGTGGTTAAGATGGAGCATTTTTTTACAAGCTGTTAGGTGTGTTAAGTGTTAAATGTGGTCTGGTGATGATTGGAGAAGTCACGAGAGAAATCTGTTGGGATCTGAAATGAACAGAATCCACCTCTAGCTCAATACATTTCTAAAGTGCAAGTGGTTGGAGATGAAGAGCACTTAAGGGGTAGCCTTGTAGGTATTTTGCTGTGTTTTTGCAATTGTTCCATTTCCTGCTGCTGTTGGCCACTCAAAGCATACCATCCTAGGCAGATCTTTCTGTGATCCATAACATCCTTCCCTAGTCTGAGTTTTTTTTTTTTTATTATTTTTATTTTTATTTTTATTTTTTATTTTTTATTTTTCCCCTCTCCTTTCATGGTTTCTTGTCCCTGTGGTTAAGCTGGAGAACAAAATCTGTTAGGCTAACTGAATGAAAAGTCAAGATTGTTGTTGTTAGATCCAGATCTTCTTTTCCATTAGTAGTATAATCTTTGAAAGAAAAATGTGATTTCATTCTGGCTTTGGTTACTTCCAGGCTGAGTTTATTTGCTGTCTACTTTATCGTAGACCCACAGACTCATTTATTTCCTTTAATCTGATCTGCAGGTGGGCAAAGATCTATTTTGTAGCCTGGTGGTTGATCTCCTCTGTCATATGGGTTAATCTCTTCATAGCTTTACTTCTAGAGGTAAGAAGGAGTATTATTTGATGTTAAATCCTGATAAGAGGTTATGATCTTTATGGGAAATGAAAAGAGCCCAGAAAACCTTCTGGGAAATTTGGTTTGGTTTTTGCATGTCTACTTGATCTTTTTTCCCTGTCCTTTTTCCCCCAGATGTTCAGGAAGCATTTTCTTTTCCCAGACAATTGTGCATTTCTTTATTTTGAAACTTTGTCACAAGTCTGACTGCATTTTGTTGGATGTGAATGTTTGTCCATTACAGCTGATTCACTATGAAGATGTGTTATGGTGTCAGTTTTTTTCCATTGCTTTTGTCTTCCAGAACTTCATTCACAAGTGGGACCGTCGCTGTCATCGGGAGTCCCTCTCAGATGTTGAATACCAGAGGACAGTAGAACTAATGTTCAGGTGAATTAAATTGGGCATGGTGATTGATTTAGATTATTCTGTTTCTCTCTTGGTGCTCGTTGCAAGATGGTACAAGACTTCTCTTAATTTCCATCCTCAGAAGTAAACTGTATCATCTTTTACCTCGGTGAATCTCAGTACGTGCTCTAGTTGGACTTGTTTTAAGCTGACTTGTGAGCCTAACCTTTATATGCTTTCTGCCAAGATTGTGGTGGGAGAAGAGGTATTGGAAGTAGGGGGAGCTGTGCTGAGGGGGAGAAGAAATTGAAGATGAGGAAACTGATGCACATTCTTGGCTTATTGTGAAACTGTGGGTGGTGAGCTGATACTCGATGATCATGAACACGTAGAACTTCTGGTGCACATTGGATATTCAATAGTAGCGTTGGGAACATGTTCTCATTTGGGAGCTTTTTCAGGAAAACAAACTTACTGACCTTCAGTTGTATTGCACTATGTGCAGGAAATTGTTTCCCTGCTCCTTGTGGGAAAACAGCTGCTGGTTTCCATGACACATCTGTAAAGGATGGATCACTGGCAAGTAGATGCATCTTTAGGGAGCATCAACTTATTGTAATTTTAATTCCACTTTTCAAGAATGAAACGAGCACGTGTTCTCGCAGTGTGGACACTGAGATGCAGCAACTGCTGAGAAGTTCCCTTTGTTGTCCCTAACAACCCATGCTTTCTCTTTGTAGAGATGTTTTGGAAGAACCAACAGAGGAAGAGCTGATGGAAAAGCTGCACCAACATCCACACCTGCACTTATGTAGGTGACTGGTGGGAAGGATGGACTTATTTAGACCTCTGTTTTTTGAGGTTGTCAGCTGGAAGAAATAGAATGGATTTTCTGTGAGGTGCTGCTGGGAGAGGCTTGCAAGGCGATATGTAAGGCTTTGCTTGTCAATTCTCTGCCGAAAGAATGTTTTTAATTGTTCATATTTGAATCCTTGCTATTCCAACTTGATTTTAAGTTGCAATTTTAGAGGAGTATTGCAGCTATTATTTTTATAAACTGTTGGTATCAGAAAGTTTTATTTTCTTTTTTAAGAAGGGAAAGTGTGTTAAAAGGACAGTGCACTTTAAAATATGGACTCTGTAACCACTAAGCCTACTATTTTGAAAAGCACAAGAAAATGGAGCTGCCTTTCCTAGAAGGGGAGTGTGGAGAGGGCTGCACCCTGCAGTTGGTGAATGGATTAAGCAGGACCAGAACAAAATCCTTCATTTTTCTGTAGGGAGACTGAAACATGTCACCAGCCTATCTTACTAAATTTACAGGTGTTAATCACTTCAGAACACAATTAAGTTCAACTGTGGTTGAACTTAATCATGTGGAGAGCCTACTTCACACCTCTTCTATTTGATCGAGGGTTTGTGCTGGTTGCACCATGCTGGTTGCCTTGAGAGCAATAGTAAGTGTGAATGGAAAAATTACATTTGTGGTTTTCAGTGTGATAAGACTGAGCTCACCTTTAGGGTAAATATTTTCATGTTGCTTTTCAGTGAACTCTTCTTTTTTAACTTTATCTTCTAAATCCTGTTTTATAATGTATTGTGTTCCATAAAAAAAGCTGAGGGGGGTGAACTTTGGCCAGCTGTAGCATCGTGATCACTGTGAGTCTCCCTTTTAAAGGGGGCGAAAAAAGGCTGAGTGGGGTAATCAAAGTGCATAGCAGTTCAGATTTTCCTCTGAGTGTTGCTGTGGTTTTGTGGCCACTTGCTTTGTACCCGAGTGATTTGTCCTGTGTAAGTACCTTGGTCAGTGTATCTAAAGTTGAGAATTAACAGTAAGTTATGTTTACGTGCTTCTCATTACCCCTTAGTATTTCTCTAAAAATGGTGCTTAAGTTTGATTCTTTGTCACATAACTAGTGAACCACAGTCACAAATACACTCGTTCCCAATTTTAATTTTTGTATGTGAAAATGAAACTCTACTTTGAGGCACTGAATTTTCATTGAGTCACTTGTCGCTAAAATAGACAGTGATTCTTTGTACCTGGCAAAGGCCTGGGGAAGGTAAATGGCTCTAAAACACCTATGAACTTAGGAGTTATTTGATACTTTTTAGATAACAAAACATTATAGAAAGTGCCAAGTAGTCATCCTATTTACTTTTTCCTCTTGTTTTGTCATCATTTTTTTTTTTCTAGTTTCCTCTCCCTAATAATACAGGAAAGAATCTGGGACAATGGTACAACAAGCTCAGAAGTGTATTTTTGCATTATTGCACTATTTAAAAGTTATTTGGCAGTCCTTGTCCGTTTCTTTATCACTAATTTTCCTTGTGCTTTAGACAAAGCGCGTATCTTGTTTGCGTATTTATATGACAGGTCTCAGCTGAGCTCTATGCCACTCAGCAATTTTTCTTTATTTCTGTAATTCTGCACCTTAAGCCACGCTGTTATCTTTTTTACTCGTCTCAATTCCTTAATAATCCAATGAGTAACTTGGTTGCACAGGTTTTTGGGGGCATTACCATGCTTATATGCTATTGCAAACTTAGAACACAGATTATAGCGAGTAGATAAAAAGCACCACCACGTTTCTGTATTTGATTTTGGTTTTGTCAGGATGACTTCTGCTTTTTCGAGCTTGATTTAATCACAGGCACCAATTTATTGTCACTGTTAATGGAGTTATGCTCTGCTGACCTTTTTACTCAATCATCTTTTTCATTTTGGACTTTTCTAAATACTTGCGGAAGCCACTTTGCCTGGCCAGAAAGTTGGTGACCATTTCCTATTGGGTTGCAAGCTTCAATCCTGTTTTGTTTTATTTGTTCTTAAGATTTTTCTTTGTCTGTTACGTTCCACCATAATCTACCAAAGCAACATGAATTGGTGTGGAATTATCATCACCAGTGCCTCTGCAATGCAGTCTTCACATCTGCATGGGGTGAAGAAGGCACTCTGAAGGGAATAGTCTTAGTCTTGTTCATGTTTCACAGCTGTGTAATGGATGGGAAATTTAATTAGAAGTTAATATTAAATCTAATGGCAGTTGTACTGAAAGATGTAAATGACCACAAGTCTTGCACAATAACTGTATAAATCATGACAATTAATGTAACTGGGTAAAATTTGAGGTTTGTATTATTAAAAAGGTTTATTCTTAAAATATGAAAGTATGAGCTGTTAAAAAGATTCCTGTGGCTTGTTTTCTTTCCGTGTCCCATAGCTACAGAATTTTTTGTTTCTAAGCACATGTTAGCATCATCTGTAGGTACTTATGCTTAACTTCTAAGGTGAATAGTTCCTTGGAACTAAGGCAGGATGTTGGGCAGCACGGTTTCCATTTTCATTTTAGTCTTTGGTACATCTGCAAACTGGATTTTTCTTCCTTGTTCTCCCTGGGAGGGTCAGTGCAATATATGTTCTCATAGCACTTCACAGAACTGTTTGAGTTGGAAGGGACCCTTGAAGGCCATCTGGTCCAACTGCCCTGCAGTGAACAGGCACACCTACACTCAGGTGCTCAGTGTCCCATCCAACCTGACCTGGGATGCCTCCATGGGTGGGGCATCCACCACCTCTCTGAGCAACCTGTGCTGGTGCCTTATCATAAAAAAAACTTTTTCCTTATATCCAACCTAAACCTCCCATCTTTTAGTTTGATACCATTTTGTCTTGTCCTGTCACTGCTAAAGCGTCTGTCCCTTTCTTCCTTCAGGTGGGACAGATCTCACACAAAATATGTCAGAGCCCATAACGATACTTTGAAACAGGTTACATTTTTTTAAGAACAGGACAAAATCAATTTTGGGTCAAGCTAAAGGCCTCTTGAGTTTGCTACTGTCTCTGGCAATTGCTTTAGTGGAGCATGTAGGAAACAAAGTAAGCAGCAGGTGACCTTGCCTTGTTAATCAGGCACAGATTTTTTGCTAGTTGCCCAAGGAGGCTTTAATCAGCAACATGTTGGCTAATTGGAGATTCCTCAGGTGTTTTTTATTCCTCACCTGTTACGAATTTGTACTATTTAAAGACTTTAGGGTGGATGGGAGAGAGAAGAGAGAATTCAAATGTTCTCTGCTTCAGTAGAAGCATAGAAACAACAATCAGTTTCGATAGCATGCTTATCTATGAAGAAATTTCAAAAGCTGCAGATGGGGCAACTAGCATAACTAGTAACTGGGCAGAAGCTGCAGATGGAAGAAGAAATACCCTCTTGGATTTCAAGGAATTATGTGAGTAGACTACACAAGGCTTGTTTTCTTGACCTCTCTTATGTTGCGCTGGTGGGGACTATTAATTAATAAACTGTGAAATGTAAAGTAAAAGTATCTTAAATCTTGTTTTCACCTGTCTGCGTACCGTAAGCAGTAGCATCTGTAAGTAGCGTTACTGTGACTTCTGCTATTGCTTAATGTTCTTTTAGTCAGATGAGGTCATTTCAGCTTTCCATCTGTCTTGGCTTTTTATTGAAAAGGAAATAAATATAGGTGTCTGCATGTGCTCTTTCTGTAGGCGTGTTGATGACTTCTGCTTTCCCTAGAGTTTTCTTTAAATAACAGGCCTTCCGCCCGAGGGGAGATCAAATGGTTTGGACTTAATCTGCAGTCTTCTAAACATTTGGAGACATTTATTATGTGAACTTTGAGTAGAAAAAATTTGGAGTGGGGGAGGGAAGAGACTTGGTTTCAGTTTCAGCTCTAAGTACTGCAAGGAATGTTTCCAAATGACCTTGATAACCTAGAGGAAATAGCCAAAATTGCGAGTGGAAAATGTAATAAGGCAAACTATTACAGTTTTTAAAAAAATACAGCATGGGAGAGTAAGTGGTATTAGAGGACAAATCTTACAGGTATCTGAAAGATTAAATGAAAAGTACTTTGCTGTAACTTGCTTTGGAATTGCAGTCTTGGAATGGCATTCCAGTCTTGAAATGGCATTCCAGTGTTGGACCCCACATTTTAAAATAATCAAGTTAGAGGAGGCGTTTGTTACAGGATAATAACAGAGGTCATAAGGGATTTGGGAACGGTGTTGGGAAGACTTTGAAGGAGATGATTTGTTCAGGCAAACAAGAAACGGGCAGATGTATTTGCTGTTTAAAAAGCTATGAATGATGTGAGAGAGGTGATCTGTTTCTGTTGCGCTGATGGTAGGACAAATCATTGCTCAGAAAGAGTTTCTGGCTGTGAGGAGCTGCTGCTGACTGTGGGCATGGAATCTGGGAGGTCACAGGTTCCCTTTGCTTGAGGCCCTCTTAGGAAAGCCTCTTAGGAGTCCCTCTGCTCCAGCTTTGTATGTTTGTGAACCTGCCCTAATGGTGAAGCATCTGCTGGTCCCTGAGATCCCATCCCACCCACCTCTCTCTGATTTCACTGGAAAGAATTCCCATGGCTGTAACAAACTCAGCTTTTGTTGTTAGAGCGTGTGCTGTTGAATACAGCTAATGGCTTACAAATGTGTACAGTAAAGAAAATTTTTACAGGGAGGGATATCGAAAAATATCCACCGTTTAGTCAAGTAGGGAGGTGAAATTTAGTTGTGTGTGCTACATCTCTGATAATCAGCCTAATTTCCCCTACGTGCCTCACTGCATCCTCATTGCAGATGCAATTTTCCCTTTAATTGATTCCCTTTAATCTTGTTTCTAGTTATCCCACCTCTTTGGGTAAGAGGAGTAACGTGCTGCCCTTCTACCAGTCTCTGTTTGCTTGTTGGTAAGATAAACACAGAAGGCATATCTTTCTTGTGGTAAGAAGGCTTAATTTGGGCACTCTGCTCTACTTGTGACCAGCTGTCATCTCATGCCGCTTTGTGGCATGTTTAGCTCCTCTGTCAAACTTGGTTTGAATGAGTTGAAGAATTCTCAGGGGAGACCTTGTTGCTCTGTGTAACTACCTGAAGGGAGGTTGTAGTGAGCTGGGGGTTGGCCTCTTCTCTCGTGTATCTAGTGATAGGACTGGAAGGAATGGCTTCAAGCTGCGCCAGGGGAGATTAATACTGCTTTTCAGAAAGAGTGGTCAGGCAGTGGAATGGGCTGCCCAGGGAGGTGATGGAGTCACCGACCCTGGAAGTGTTCAAGGAACGTTTGGATTTTGTGTTGAGGGACGTGGTTTAGTGAGAACTATTGGTGGTAAGTGGATGGATGGACTGGGT